AAAACATAAGTGATGTTGTGGCTGTGTGTCACATGACGACCCTGTTTATCACTAAGGCTTTTATTGTTAGAAAAAACAAACAATATTAGCCTAGACAGCAACTGTTCAGTGAAGAATTCGTTCAATTCGTGAAGTATTCACAGACAGCACTCGAATGTTATTGGCACGTGCTATACTCAGTCTTGAAAACATAAATGCGGTTATGAGCTCAAAGGAAAAATGTGTTAGTACATGCAGGAAGTCTACGAAGTCTAAACTAGCGGTGAACGTATCGTTGATATGCGCGGTGTCTAAATCCCACGGAGCAACTACCTGGGCGAACAGGTGGGACAGGTGAAAGGCGACCATTTTTATGCCATTTAACTACGACATCATTCACCTTTACAAACTCGAGAAAAAATTCCTTGAATCCGTTTTTTTCCACTTAATAAAAGCACGTGATTTCTACTCCGTTTGAAGATGTTTATTACATCATCGCCCTTATGGCTCGTTCAGCCGTGAAACAGTTATGTATTTTATTTCCCATAACGCATCATTGTTATAATGTGTCAGGCTGGTTTAAGCATCCAACGTCCAAGTGACCGTCCATGTCGCCCAAGGGCCTTTAATTAAAAAAACGTTTTTCATGTATCAAGACAAATATGACACACTTGATAAGCAAGATCGCTAGCTAAAGCCACATCTTATTTTTTGTCGTCATATAGCCACAATGCACTACATGAATCTAATTCAACATCTGCTTAGTGCGATAAAGAATGCATAAATTAAAAACAAAACATAAAAGGTTATCTTACCTGTGTGTTTCCTATTGTAGGATTAGCTATTTGTCACGCGTGCTGGATATTTTATCCCAGTTCATGCGCAATTATATACTGCCACTTCCAAAAGAGTGAGGAAATAATAAAAGCATGCATTCATGGAGGCTAAATTTATGTTAATTCATAAGCAGGCGGCTTTTCGCATGTTCAACCGATTCCACTATGACTGGCGGTTTGTTTGTATTATTGGGCGAATCAGCCTCCAGTAGACCGAAATGCTTTGCGGATCTGACGACAGGCGCCGACCTTCCTTTAGCCGACGTGGAACATGCAGATATAGCGCGAGGAAGAAGCCATGATGAGAAGGGAAGAGAAAAAAAATCATTTTGCAGTAGTAGACAAAAACAACATGACACCTCTCATCTTTAGATTACTAACAGACCAAAGTGCTTTGTCCAAAAACAATGTTGCTCAGACTTTCACTTATTGACTCAGACATTTTTTTAAAGTAAAGTCATCGTCACAGTTTATACAGTTTGCAAAATGTGCTCTATCAGATGAGAATCTGGTACATTTCTTGCAGGCATTAAATATATTTAGTTTATATACTGAATACTGAATAAAATGTTGTCTGCAGATGTCTGAAACAGTGTAATGATTTTCACAGTTGCTGATGTCGAGATTTTAAGATTTGCTAACTCAGCATGAATTATATTTCTGTTATCTTGCTAAAAATTTAAATAACTAATTAAACCCTAAAATGCATAAAATATTGACTGGTTTGTATCAAAGGTGCATTTTCTGCTTTGAAATTATATTGGGGAAAAGCTGTATATAAATGTGAATTGAATATCAAAGATGTTTAAATGTCTTTTTCTTATAGAAAATACACATTAAATTCCCAAAATATTTTTTACTACTAAGATATTATAGGGCTATTATTTTGTTCCCCAAAAAAATCTAAAATTAATTTTAAAAATCAATCATCAATCAGAAGTCATATCATGCGTTTAAACAATAAGGTTAATGATATTATTTGAAAATTTGTGTAAAAATATTCCACACACTAAGAAATTGTGATTAGAAAAAAAAAAAACTGTCCCACTCAAATGTCCCATTCTATTTCTCTTTCATTCCACCACCTAGCAGCTACACACACTCACTCTCACAGCTTCTCACTCAAAGTGCCATGAGATTGTCTGTAAAAAAAGCCAGGGATCAGAGATTGTGTCCAAACCTCAGGTTAGCAACGTTGTGGTGGGTCCTGTTGTTCAGTAATTCAGCAGGGGTTCTCTCTGCATTTTATATTAACTTTTCTGATTGAATCAAGCAAACAACCATCCAAAACATAAAGGGATTTTTATGGTTATTAATGCAATATGCAATTGTTGGCCTTTTCAATCATGTGTAAATGCATTGCCTAATATATTTTTCTAAAGCAGCTACCTTAAGTTGGCAGGTGAAGGCTGTTAACAGGTCAACCTGTCATTCTTTAGAGGTGTTTCAGAAGTTTCCCTCAGCTGCCAAAGTTTTTACTGTTTTTTGTTGGTTTATATATCACAGCACTGTAACGGCACTGTAATGTGGAGCTTGCACGTATGACTTTTTGTTTAACAAGAGATCCGCACGTACAGTGATGTTGTAAACATTCCCCACACACAAACTCACACACTACCCACAGTCATTACACACGTAAAACAAGCTCAAGGAAAGTATACAAGGATACAAAGAAAGTATTTCAAACCGCACTTTAGTTTTAGCCAAAAAAAGAGGAATTTAATGGAAAACCAGTCCCTCAGACTTCTAAAAATATTATTTGGTGACCTGAACTTCCCAAATACTCAAAGGGTCACTGATGTGATGCTCTTTTTCTGGATCTTTTAATTTAGTAAAAATAATAAAAATTCAATTCGTACTGATTCATTTTGTTTTTTTAAGTAAGAATCAACATGTTTTCACCATTTGAACATCTTTATTTGTCACAGACTCATACATGATCCACTTGGTGGTGCTGTAACCTACACAGATGAATGTTAGCGATCGCATGAGAATCTATGTTTTGAAAGTTGTACGAGAGAAAACTAGCCACCACCTCTCTGTAACCTCGTTCACCTTAAATGGCTGCATTCGTCTTGACATGTTTGTAAGTTTGACGTTAGGTAGTTTACAATCGGATGCACGTCATAACAGGTGAAATCCGGCCAGTACAGCTGCCACACATCGACACACGTCAGCAAAGCGTGATTTCTACTTCTCACGCTGCCAAATTCTTCAGGTCCCTCATCATAATACGTCTCTAATGAGATCCTGATCGAGCCGTTCTTTTAACATTGAGCTGTTCACCCTCTGGCTCTGAATACAGTCTGGTTTTGACTAACTCTCTCATCAGTGAGCTCAGAAAAACAGTTGTAAGTAAGGTCATGAAAGAGATCCTGCTGGTGTTTACTGTCTTGCACAAGGTGGACAGCACACATGCCAGTATGAAAATATTTATTGCTGATTATATTTTACCGACTGTTAAGCCAAGCATTATTTGTTTTTTTAGTCTTTGTATCATTGTTTATCGGTAACTAAATGGCTTATTATTTGTATATTACAAGCACAAAGCTTTCATTGGTTTGACACAGGCACTGTATTTTATCTAAAGCAACTTACAATGCAATGAAGATATATATGTATACATGACTAATGACATGTTGCTAACGCCATGCTCTACCAGCTGAGCTACGGCAATAAGAAGACACAGCACACCTTGTGTATGTACTTGATCTCCCCTCAGTGTGGTTCTTTTTACTTGGGTCCGGACCAAAGCACAGATGACTGATTCCTGGATGCGAGTGCTACAGCAGCCTGTGGGATCAGCTCTGGAATGCTGCCATCACTTGTGAAGAATCCAGAGTCATGTTTATGAGATTAAGTACCAAACTGCACTCCTGGCTCAGCGGATGACCCCAACATCCCACCTCGATATCTTTCATGAGGAACCAGATGCCATTTAGAAAGGCTGTGTGTGTATGAACACTACATAGGTATGTTCATATGTGTGTATTTGCACGAAGGTGCACAACTAGAAGCAGCTGCTTGAGCCCCTTGCTTTCGGCCCTCCGCTCTCGCCCCAAATCACCCTCCAGAGAGTACAGAAACATGGTACATCACAGGCTGCTGACTGATCCAAACCAGCTCCCATGAGCACACACAGCACCAGGTTGTCTTCGTATGTCAGAGCCGGCCGTTGTTGAACTTCCTCTGGCCCAAGTTAAATCAAAAAGTTATGAGCAAAATATGCTGATAACATTATGTAAAATATTTAAGGTAATGTAATTACATAATTTAACAATAATTGTATTATTATAGATCAGCTACTTCTAGACAGTGTTGATATTGTTAACTAGAGCTAATACTAAAATAATTTTCATCAATTGTAACAAGCTGAAATAAAATAAAATGTAAATACTAAAGATTAAAAAGATGAAAGTTCTTTTAGGAAAATTAGATTTGTCGACTTGCCGTCAGCGCTGATAGCCTCGTAAAATCATGAAATCATTCACACAACCAATTATTTCAAACATATTGATTCATTCAGGAAACAAAACAAGTGGCCGTCTTTTTTGAGTGCATCATTGAATAATTTATTTAACCAATTAATTCAGACACACTGATTCACTAATGTGTGTCTCAGAGACACGCAACAGTCAGTTCTTCTTTGGCTTAGTTTGGAACAATTTTCATTGCTGGAACAAATATAGACTGACATTGTTGTGTCTGAAATGTAAGTTTCAAATATAATATTGTTTTATATTAATTTTTAAAGATATATACACATTTACACACGTTTCTCTGTTTACAATTTATTTTACAGCATCTAAATAATTTACAGCATCTACCAGGCCATTGCACAATAGCACCTTCCCACAATTCCCTGTTTGATATGAACTGTGTCAAGGATAGCTTGAGAAGCTTTCACTTTCACCCATTTAACAGTGCATGGTTGCCTGCTGCTGCCAAAAGGCCACTAATACACTGCCAAGGCATTTAAACCGCAAAGTTAAACGAGTAACAGGGCTGTTGTATTTGAGAAGCACTGAACTCTCGCTGCGTTTCAAACACCGTGAGGTAAACGTCTCTATGTGGCTTTGCCCTCCTCAGTTTGGAGTTTCTCTCTGTGAGCATAGCAGGAGAGTATATTTACGCATCTGTGTTCGTGGGAGATTGCTCTGTGACAAAGTGTTCACACGCAACTCAACGGCCAGCTGCAGAAATTCTGCTTGTTTTCTCCACAGAGCTGTTTCTGACCAAGGAATCGAAATGTTCCCCATAAATCACCTTTAACCATATCTGAGGACCGAAATCGAGTTCCAAAATGACTTAATTTATCTAAGCCTTTATCATTAGAGATATGTATTTCATTTGCTTCAAGGCACTCTAAATGAACAAATAATTCACTTGGTAGGTGTTATTTGTTTATACTAAGTGGGCGAGAGAGGAGGAAAGAGCAGATTTACAGCTGTGAATACAAGTGTGTCCTGTGAGGTCCATCAAGAAATTGTCTCGTGAAAAGGAAGAGTTAAAGCAAGATTGGTATGTTTATGTCAGGATATCTTTTGACAATAATTTCACATTCAATCAAAACCATAGAACTGTAACCAAACTGGGAGTCAAATCTGTGTGCTGAAGGCAGTGTTCCACTAATCGATTCTAAACGAAAGATTGTGAAAAATAAAGATTTCAAAAGAGGTTTTTTGTAGCAGTGCCACAGAAGAACTATTTTGGGTTCCTCAAATAAACTTTTGGTGAACAGTTCTTAAAAGAGCCATCTGAAGAACCTTTTCCCACTATCAAAAAAAACGTTTGTGCAATGGAAAGTTTACATGGACTTAAAGGATGTTCATGGAACCATAGATGCAAAGAAGTTTAAGTGATGACACTCCTGCTGTATTTACAGAAATCTCACTTTCTCCCATCAGAATTTGTCATAATGACTCTTTTCAATTCAATCTTAGTGAATTTATAGCGTGATTTCCTCATTTCAAATGAATCAATGCAATTCATCAAGTATAAGCAGCTCATGTTCAGGCCTGTAGCCATAATAATCTAGATTTGTGTACTAATTTAAAATCTGCTAATATTTATCATTCCAAAACTACAAAGCATGCACTCCTTGTGATTTTGTGTTTACCGCAGCATTGTCTCCAGCATGGCTCCATGTAAACCGTGTGTATCTGCCAGGCGGTCACCTCCTGGGGTTCAGTCCTGTAATGCGCAGAGAGAAAGATGGATGGTCTTCCTCGACAAAGTCATTAAGA